CCGCCGGCTTCTGTTTGTCCAGGTCCTGCTGGACGACAGCCCGAAGTTCGTCGATCAGGATGAGGTCCGGAGGGCAGCCGGCTAGCATCTCTTTCCTTCAGAAGTCTGGCACGTTCAATTCGCACCACCGCTAGGCCTTGGCAGAGCGATGAGCTGGCGCACCGTCCTGATTGAAAATGCATGTCAACATGTCATTGACCATGCGTTGGCTTAGTATTGGGCCGAAGCCTTGGAGAGCTCTTCCAATTGCGTCTCACGGTCCTGTTTGGAGATGTGATAGCGCTTCAGCGCGAGCCGCTTGGCCAATTTTGTCGCCAACTACTGGCCCCTCTTCCCGGTCGCCATTTTCAATGCGATTTCTGTAACGTTTGAAATGGTAGGCGCACGCCGGCAAACTGGAACGATCAGCAACACTGCCAGCAGTCGTATGCTTATCCCACCAACACCGGACTGTGCAGACAGTTCGTCTATAATTAAGACTTGCAAACAAAAACAACAGGCAGATGTCCTAACCAATCAGCAATGACACGCTGTGTCATTTCGGCCTGGAGCATGCCGACTGTCTGGTTCAGCTCCCTTGATAGACATTTCAGACATTCACGTAGCGACGCAGCAGTTCAGGTGGACAATCTCTGTGAAACTGGCCGTAGCTCGGTGATCCGTGACCCGAGGTTCGTTCGTCACCTCATGCTCTGCGGCCAAGGACCGCGCAATGCAGGAGTGCAGCCTGAATCGTCATCCCTCAGGTGTGGACACGATTAGGAACAGGAAAGTGTTGTCATAGGTAGCGGACATAACTTTTGCGGAACGATACATTGTCTTCTTGTAGTGTCTTTCATTGTCAGCGAGACACTACATGGAGTTAAAATGGCGAGCGGCCCTTCCACCGGAATGGTGAGCGTCCTTCTCTGTCAAACGCGGCGCTAGTTTCCGCCTAAGCCCTGCTGGCCCGCTCGACTGCTATGTCATGCGGCACAGTCTACAAGTACAGGTGACCGGTCGCGAGATCGGAGCTCCGTAGCACTGAGCGAGTGTGGCGAAGGTGGGGGTATTCACCGCATCAAACCTACAGGTCGCCTGGACCCTTATCTTGAGACCAATAGTACCATACCGGGCTACCTGGTCATCAGACTGGTACTGACACCTGGCGGCAGCCTCCTACAGGTGAGGGTACCATACCGGGCTACCTGGTCAACAGACTGGTACTGACACCTGGCGGCAGCCTCCTACAGGTGAGGGTACCATACCGGGCTACCTGGTCATCAGACTGGTACTGACACCTGGCGGCAGCCTCCTACAGGTGAGGGTACCATACCGGGCTACCTGGTCATCAGACTGGTACTGACACCTGGCGGCAGCCTCCTACAGGTGAGGGTACCATACCGGGCTACCTGGTCATCAGACTGGTACTGACACCTGGCGGCAGCCTCCTACTGGTGAGGGTACCATACCGGGCTACCTGCCCAGTAAACATGCCGACGTCGGCCCGACGTCGGCCGACGTCGGGGTGACGTCGGCAACTCGGCATCAGCATGCCGACGTCGGCCCGACGTCGGTCCAACCTCGGCACGACGTCGGCTGGATGTCGGATATGCCCGCATGTTCCGAAGTCCAGCCGAGGTCCAGCCGACGTCGGGCCGACGTCGGACCGAGATAAATTGCTGAGGTCCAGCCGACGTCGGGCCGACGTCGGGGCGACGTCGGACCGACATCGGCCGCTATTTTGACCGTTAAAATAAGATAAAATACATGTTTCATGTTTCATAAAGAGCTTCTGTATTCAAAATATCCTCAGGAAACTCAAATCTTCCTCCACGCCGCAACCCCCTGATCCGGACTGGACGGGAAACTTTATCCCATTTTTTGGATTGCCCGTAAGCCGAGCTCGCCCGTAGCCGGGTGCGGTGAGTGCTTGGGGGCTGCTCGGCCTATCCTTTGGTCAGGCTCAGCCCCGGCAACTCACCAGGGCCGGGCCCAGTTCATATAGAAAGGCCAGTCGGCAAGTGTCACTTTGCCAAAGTGCCACTTATCAAAGGGACACTTTGGGAAACGTTGGTGCAGGTGTGTAAGAGTGGCTATATGAATCCATTGTGGGGTCGCCCTTTCCAAAAAGTGTCACGTAACAGCAATGGGACCAGGGACTCTATATGAACTGGACCCAGGGTGCTCGCCAAGAAGACCAATGTCTCCATCCTATGATCCTTCGGGCTCTGAAATGGTCTTGTCAGACCGAAAGGGCATAACACAACAAAACAAACCGAATTCCTTAGCTGGCTGCGTGGTGTAGTGGTTAGCGCACTAACCTCGCGTTCGAATGATACGGGGTTCGAATCCCATCGCCGGCTGATCCTTTTTGCGTGTTGTCCCAGTAAACATGCCGACGTCGGCGACTGGGGGGCTCGAATCCCGCCGCCGGTTGATATTTTTGGCGCGTTGTCCCAATAAACATGCCGACGTCGGCCCCGTCGGTCCAACGACAAACGATCTCGTCAACCTCGGCAAACGATCTCGGCCCGACGTCGGCTCGACGTCGGCTGGACTTCGGCTGGACGTCGGAACATGCGGGCATATCCGACGTCCAGCCGATGTCGGGCCGAGGTTGAACCGACGCTGGACCGACGTCGGGCCGAGCCTCGGCCCGACGTCGGGCCGACGTCGTCATGTTTACTGGGTGGTCATCAGACTGGTACTGACACCTGGCGGCAGCCTCCTTCAGGTGAGGGTACCATACCGGGCTACCTGGTCATCAGACTGGTACTGACACCTGGCGGCAGCCTCCTTCAGGTAAAGGGCAGGGAGGAGCGTTAACCATCCCTCGGACAGGGTGGTTGATGCACCCACTTACTACAAATTCTCGCGTAGATAAAAACGAGGGCGCAAAGCGGCGCCAAATTTGGCAGACCTCATGACACCTTTTTGTACACATTTCCTTCAAGTCTCAGTCACAAGTTTGCTTATTTACTGAAAACGTGGTCGGGTCACCTGAGGTCAAATGGGTCAAACAGCATTTTTGCTAATACATCGGCATTCAGTGAAAATAAGGTTTGAAAATTGAGTCAATGACACCCCTGTGGTACACCGTCTGACACCCCTGTGGTACCCCATCTGACACCTTTATCCCTGTAGTACACCATCTGACACCCCTGTGGTACTCCGTCTGATACCCCCCAGTAAACATGCCGACCTCGGCCCGACGTCGGGCCGAGGCTCGGCCCGACGTCGGCCCAACGTCGGTTCAACCTCGGCCCGATATCGGCTGGACGTCGGATATGCCCGCATGTTCCGACGTCCAGCCGAAGTCCAGCCGACGTCCAGCCGACGTCGGGCCGAGGTCGTTTGCCGAGGTTGACGAGATCGTTTGTCGTTGGACCGACGGGGCCGACGTCGGCATGTTTATTGGGACAACGCGCCAAAAATATCAACCGGCGGCGGGATTCGAGCCCCCCAGGTGCCGACGTCGGCATGTTTACTGGGACACACGCCAAAAGCATCATCCGGCGATGGGATTCGAACCCCGTGTCATTTGAACGCGAGGTTAGTGCGCTAACAACTACACCACGCAGCCAGTTATCGAACTCAGTTTGTTTTGTTCGGTTATGCCCTTTCGGTCTGACAAGACCATTTCAGAGCCGGAAGGATGATAGGATGGAGACATTGGTCTTCTTGGCGAGCACCCTGGGTCCAGTTCATATAGAGTCCCTGGTCCCATTGCTGTTACGTTACGTGACACTTATTGGAAAGGGCGACCCCAAATGGATTCATATAGCCACTCTTACACACCTGCACCAACGTTTCCCAAAGTGTCCCTTTGATAAGTCGCACTTTGGCAAAGTGACACTTGCCGACTGGCCTTTCTATATGAACTGGGCCCGGCCCTGGTGAGTTGCCGGGGCTGAGCCTGACCAAAGGATAGGCCGAGCAGCCCCCAAGCACTCACCGCACCCAGCTACGGGCGAGCTCGGCTTACGGGCAATCCCAAATGGGATCAAGTTTCCCGTCCAGTCCGGATCAGGGGGTTGCGGCGTGGAGGAAGATTTGAGTTTCCTGAGGATATTTTGAATACAGAAGCTCTTTATGAAACATGAAACATGTATTTTATATTATTTTAACGGTCAAAACAGCGGCCGATGTCGGTCCGACGTCGGCCCGACGTCGGCTGGACCTCAGCGATTGATCTCGGTCCGACTTCGGCCCGACGTCGGCTGGATCCCGGCTGGACGTCGGTACATGCGGGCACATCCGACATCCAGCCGACGTCGTGCCGAGGTTGGACCGACGTCGGGCCGACGTCGGCATGCCGATGCCGAGTTGCCGACGTCACCCCGACGTCGGCCGACGTCGTGCCGACGTCGGCATGTTTACTGGGCCTGTGGTACACCGCCTGACACCCCTGTGGTACACCGTCTGACACCCCTGTGGTACTCAGTCTGACACCTCTGTGCTACACTGTCTGACACCCCTGTGGTACACCGTCTGACACCCCTGTGCTACACCGTCTGACACCCCTGTTGTACACCGTCTGACACCCCTGTGCTACACCGTCTGACACCCCTGCGGTACACCGTCTGACACCCCTGTTGTACACCGTCTGACACCCCTGTGCTACACCGTCTGACACCCCTGTGGATCTCCGTCTGACAACCCTGTGGTACACCGTCTGACACCCCTGTGGTATACCGTCTGACACCCCTGTGGTACACCGTCTGACACCCCTGTGGTACACCGTCTGACATCCCTGTGGTACACCGTCTGACACCTCTGTTGTACACCGTCTGACACCCCTGTGGTACACTGTCTGACACCTCTGTGGTACACCGTCTGACCCCCCTGTGGTACACCGTCTGACACCCCCTGTGGTACACCTTCTGACACCCCTGTGGTACACCGTCTGACACCCCCTGTGGTACACCTTCTGACACCCCTGTGGTACACCGCCTGACTGCTCCATCTGACACCCCTGTGGTACACCATCTGACACCCCTGTGGTGCCCTGTCGGCAGCGCTGGAGGATGGCCACCGCTCCCGTACTGGAGCCGCATCAGCTGAGACCGCGCGACCTGCCCCAGGTGCCCATGTACCAGCTGAGGCACTGAGAGCGCCGACCGGCCCCAGGTGCCCATGTACCAGCTGAGGCACTGAGCCCGCGCGACCGGCCCCAGGTGCCCATGTACCAGCTGAGGCACTGAGACCGGCCCCAGGTGCCCATGTACCAGCTGAGGCACTGAGACCGGCCCCAGGTGCCCATGTACCAGCTGAGGCACTGAGACCGCCGAACGGAAACCACGGCGGAGTTCAGAGGACGCCTGGGACTTCTCGTGGCGACTCGGCAGGACAGGGCGGATTGGTGGTCTCAATGCGGCAAATGGGACGACCGACGGGACGTGGTGGCTCTATGGGAGGGACGACCGACAGGCCGTGCTGGCTCTATGGGAGGGGGGGGGACGACCGACGGGACGTGGTGGCTCTATGGGAGGGGGGGACGACCGACAGGATGTGCTGGCTCTATGGGAGGGGGGACGGATGGGCCATGGTGGCTCTGTGAGGGGGGAGGGGCACTGCCAGCCGTTCATAGTACTGCTCACGACGGCTCACGGACGGCTCACTCTGTGGACTGGACGCGGGGCGACTCACGGCGGCTCGCGGCGGAGATATCGGCGGTTCAGGGCGACTCGCAGGTGGCGACGGAGATATCGGCGGTTCAGGGCGACTCGCGGGTGGACTCCGTCGTCTGTGTCTGAGGTGGGATGGCGGAGATATCGGTGGTTCAGGGCGACTAGCGGGTGGACTCCGTCGTCGGCGGAGATATCGGCGGTTCAGGGCGACTCGCGGGTGGACTCCGTCGTCTGTGTCTGAGGGTGGACGGCTCTTTGAACGAGTCACAGCTGCTCAGGGTTGTTTTGGTTGTCCGGTTACAGGTGCCCAATGGCCCTCACAGTCACTGGCACCCTGGGCTGTGCGGGTTGGGTGTGCCATATGTAGTTCGGCTCAAATGGCCACAGTCACGAGTCACAGGAACCCGGGGCTCTGCGAGTTGGATGTGGCGCAGTTCGGCTCCAATGGCCACTCCCAGTCACAGGTAGCCGGGCCTCTGTGAGTTGGATGTGGCGCAGTTCGGCTCCAATGGCCACTCCCAGTCACAGGTAGCCGGGCCTCTGTGAGTTGGATGTGGCGCAGTTCGGCTCCAATGGCCACTCCCAGTCACAGGTAGCCGGGCCTCTGTGAGTTGGATGTGGCGCAGTTCGGCTCCAATGGCCACTCCCAGTCACAGGTAGCCGGGCCTCTGTGAGTTGGATGTGGCGCAGTTCGGCTCCAATGGCCACTCCCAGTCACAGGTAGCCGGGCCTCTGTGAGTTGGATGTGGCGCAGTTCGGCTCCAATGGCCACTCCCAGTCACAGGTAGCCGGGCCTCTGTGAGTTGGATGTGGCGCAGTTCGGCTCCAATGGCCACTCCCAGTCACAGGAACCCGGGCCTCTGTGAGTTGGATGTGGCGCAGTTCGGCTCCAATGGCCACTCCCAGTCACAGGTAGCCGGGCCTCTGTGAGTTGGATGTGGCGCAGTTCGGCTCCAATGGCCACTCCCAGTCACAGGTAGCCGGGCCTCTGTGAGTTGGATGTGGCGCAGTTCGGCTCCAATGGCCACTCCCAGTCACAGGAACCCGGGCCTCTGTGAGTTGGATGTGGCGCAGTTCGGCTCCAATGGCCACTCCCAGTCACAGGTAGCCGGGCCTCTGTGAGTTGGATGTGGCGCAGTTCGGCTCAAATGGCCACTCCCAGTCACAGGTAGCCGGGCCTCTGTGAGTTGGATGTGGCGCAGTTCGGCTCCAATGGCCACTCCCAGTCACAGGTAGCCGGGCCTCTGTGAGTTGGATGTGGCGCAGTTCGGCTCAAATGGCCACTCCCAGTCACAGGAACCTGGGACTCTGTGAATCCGGTGTTCGGCCGGCCAGCTGTTCGGAGACTCTGCGAGTTTAGAGACGGTTACATGACGACTCCGAGCGGCCGGGTAGTGTGACTCTCTGTACCATTTCACGCTCCAGGGACCGCTCTTAGGGGCCGTAGATATGACCATGAGCCACCCGCCTTCAGCGCGTTACGATCGGGCAGTGTGTGGGCCCGGTCCTGGGGCAGCTGACAGCGGCACACAACTGCAGTCGGGGTAGGGCGCCTTCACAGCCCAGAGTGTACTGAGCTGACACACTGACCGCTGTACCCGAGGTACCAGCTGTACCCCCAGCTGTACCAGCTGAACCAGAGGTCCTCGGTAGACCTCGCCGGGTTTTGTGCTAACGACCGGGCACTGGCTACATGCTGCGTCCTAAGCGCAAGTCGTACAATTAACGTAAGCCGTAACCTTTTCACCGGTGTCGTAACCACGGCTTCAACATGTGGCTTCAGCGTTATATCTCTAGCTTTTCACATTTTATACAGGATTTTATATTTGAATGGCTATGAATGGCCATTCACGTCTGCCTAGCCGTGTCATGTCAGTGCCAAATTGATGGAGAGCGCTGGAGACCAGTGAATGAACTCAAATGAGACCAGTGACTGTTCTACTGTAAGATCCAGCATTGTTATCAGGTGCCCGTTGTCCCGCCTAAGATGTGCGAGCCCCGTCAGTTAGCTGCTTGTTCTCCAAACACGGCTGGCCGAAATGACGGCCGTGAACAGCCGATGCCATTTTATACAGATATTTTGAAGCAGTGAGATAATTGTGGAGCATTATTAAGGTAATATATGATATGCATGCTTGATGTACGAGCTTCTTTTAACACAGGCCAGTTTGTTGGCATAAAAACGCTGACGATGAGTGGTGTATACGGATTACGGTGTATTTATCTGAATCACTTTCATTGCTCCGTCCGGACAGCCAATCAAAACGCGCCGCGCGCCGCAGCGCGACGCCCATTGGTCGGCTGCGCCCCACTGCCGCGGCGACAGTGTGAGGCAGCCAATCAAATCGCGCCGCGCGCCGCAGCACGACGCTGGTTGGACGCCCGCGCCCCGTTTCCATGGCGACGGTGTGAGATGTCGCCGCGCGCCGCACACGCCGACACAGAGTACACGGCCCGGCGGCCGGCCGCGCGCCGCCCCGCGGCCACCGACCGCACTGCAGCTGCGCCGGCCGGCCGCCAGGCGGCGGTGGCGGCGGCGCGGCGCCGACAGCGCCCCTGGTGGTCAGTTCCGCTATCACATGGCGTACTTGCGCGTCCACTCCCGGGCCACCTGGCGGACGAGCGCGGAAACACAGGTCACAAACAACAACGACAACAGAGTCAGAAACGCCAAACACCGAAACACAGGCCAGAAACGCCAGAATACAATCAGAAACCCTTATAAGTAAGCACAAAAAAACGGAAACAGATAAAAACCGAGCACGGAAACACAGGCGACAGACGCGACGGGATGATGATACGCATGGGTTACGGACAAAAGTACGTATCGCTAAAGTACGTAGGACAAAAGTACGTAAGCAAAAGTACGTAGGATTAAAGTACGTATCGCAGAAGTACGTACAGTATTAACCCTCGCCGGACCTATTGGTTTTCTACATACGCGCCGGCCGAGGGGGGGGGGCGGGTACGACCCCCCCCCTCGCCGTTTCGCCCCTGGTGGAGCTAGCGCGTCGCGGAAAAAACGAGCGTGTGCGCCGTTACGAGACGCAGAGATTGGTACCCGATTTTAAGGTCCTAGGTCAACCGGTGACCTCTGAGGTCAGGTCAAGTGCCCCAGGGTACGGTTCAGTTTTTGGTGAATAACTTCGCAAAAAACGGCCGCAGAGCCGCGATTTTGGCAGCATCGTGTTCGCTTTGATCAGGCGCGTCGAATGATATACTTTTTGTCCGGGTCAGGTCAACTTGGGGTGTTGACCTCAGGTCAAGGTCAGGTCAGCACCCCCAGGTCACGAAGTTGGTCGAAAGAGGTCATGTCGCATATCATTCGATTCGGCAGGTCTTCCTGAGTCCATTGGTGGCTTTCGCGACTCGCTAGCTCAATTTGATCGGGAGTTATTGACGAAAAACTAATATGACCTTGATGACGTCATAAATGACGTCACGGAAGGTCAACATTGCAAAAGTGACGCATCTAACCTTGCAAGGAGTGCATCAAATCACGATTCTGTGTGCTTGAGATAGTTGGAGATCGTTCCCGGCGCCAGAATAGCAGTTTGAATTTTTCCCCATTGACTTATAATGGTGAGGTCACGAAAATGACCTGACCTCATATGACCTTTAGGAAAAATCCGAGATATACAAGTTGTGAGACTCATAATGGATACTAGATCCTGCAAGTTTCATTTCCCTGTGACATCTCCTCTGGCAGTGAGGGCGTTGCGAAGTTGCGACATCTGAAGACCGTGCAGAGGTTCACTTATGACGTCATAGGTCAGTGACCTGACCTGACCCAAAAATGCGGTTGGTGTCAAAAGATGCGGCTTGGATCAAAGGTCAGGTATGCCAAGTTTCAGCTCTCTATCGCCAGCGTGTTCGGAGCTATCGCGAAAAAACCCTATGGGGGGGCGGCACCCGCCCCCCCCCCTCGGCCGGCGAGGGTTAAGTACGTATGGACAAAGGTACGTCAGGGACAAAAGTACGTATCGCAGAAGTACGTACAATATAAAGTACGTATGGACAAAAGTACGTCAAGGACAAAAGTACGTATCGCAGAAGTACGTACAGTATAAAGTACGTATGGAAAAAAGTACGTCAGGGACAAAAGAACGTATCGCAGAAGTACGTACTGTATAAAGTACGTATGGACAAAAGTACGTCAGGGACAAAAGTACGTATCGCAGAAGTACGTAGGGTATAAAGTACGTATGGACAAAAGTACGTATAGCAAATGTTCGTAGGGTAAAAAGTACGTATGGACAAAAGTACGTCACGGACAAAAGGACGTATCGCAGAAGTACGTAGGGTATAAATTACGTATGGACAAAAGTACGTCACGTACAAAAGCCTACGTATAGCAAATGTACGTAGGGTATAAAGTAGGGTAGCCTTGGGCAAGACGCCCCAGATAATTTATTTTGCTACATAGGTACCTACTTTTATCTCACATCACCTGGAAGGCCACATTTGTGCTCAATGTGTTCTTTGGACATTTTACTTTAAATTCCATCCCTCAGGCCTCAAATTCATTCACTTATGATCGGACTCCCAGTTAGGAAGTGCTTTGTGAAGCAACTGCAAATGGGGCATTTTGCCCCAACCCTGCAGCCCCCAGGGCAAAACGCCCCACGGCCTGAGGCAAGAAGCCCCATACACTAGATTAAAGGAAATAGTTCACTTTCCTGAAATTAGTATTTTGCTATGGATTTATGTTTTTTTATGTTCAAAATGATCAGAAAATAAAACAAAACGTTTTTGTAAAAAGGATTATTTTCTATATTTTAGTATAAGAAGAACTATATTCTATATAAAATAATGTTTGACGCGGAAGCTTATTACGCGTTGACCAATCATATTGCGTAGGAAAAACCCATCGGCTGTAAGCAGCATTCTGATTGGCTGACGATGACGTGACTGCATTCCTTTGCAAGGCACGCATTCCTCTGCAAGGCACTCTTTTCGGAACGAAAAATGGAATATCTTCGTCTAGGGTGATCGTTGGGCCGTAAAAGCTTCTGATTTGTGCTAGTCTCAGCGCAAGCAACAAAACTGCTATTCCAGTTCCAAACCCCATGTTAAAAGTGAACTTTTTCCTTTAACCCTCGCGGGCCCGGGGGGCGTTTTTCGCCCCCCCCCCCCCTCCTGGCGAATATTTGCGATAGCTCCCGAACGCTTAGGGATAGGAAAGCAAAACTTTCAGCACCTTTTTTCCCATCAATTTGACATCTTCTGAAGTAAAACAATTGGACCTAGCCCCATTAATGACGTCGTAAGTCGATTTTTCTAGACCCCTGCACGGCAAACTTCGGTGTCACAGACCAAATAGCTGCTAAAATAGAGTTTTAAAGATAAAGACAAATTACGAGCACGGTTGTGTAACATTTGACTTTGACAAAAATACAAAAATAGTTTTAGTGACCTGAGATTAGAGGTCAGGTCAACGACCCCGAGCTGTGGTTTTAGTTTTTCGCAAATAACTTAACAACAAATAACAAATAACAAAAAGGACAAAAATGGTCCTAGAGCTACGGTAGTGGTACCATCGCATTTGTCTTGTCAAGCCGCGTCGAATGATACATATTTTGTTTTGTTTGGAAAAGGGCAAGTTTTATGTTGACCTCATGTTACCTCGAATGACCTTTGGTTGACCTTGACACATCAAAAGCCGTTTATGATGGATTCGTACCCGCTGATCACGAATCTGGCATCTATTTTCCTCTAAGCCTTTATTTAGAGCCTCCAGATGGCAAAATTGTCTTATTTATTATTACTAACTTGAATCAGTGAAATAGCCTAGTAGCAAGGACTCTTTTCTGTGACCTTGACCTTTGAGCAGCCTTGTATCGTAAGATGAACCACAAATAGGGACCTGATAAGCCTCAGAACATTTCAAAACATCTTGGAAGTTGACACACAAGATGTACGAAAAAGTGTAAGTTTGAGGTCAATTTTGAGCATGACCTTGACCTTGACCTTTGATGTTGAGCACATTGTCGGAATTCTCAGATTCTCTTCTTTCGTTTGACACCCAATTTTACCGGTTTTAAGCATCCTGCCGTCCTCTAGAACGCTCACTTTGAGATCACTACACATGTGCCGGTTTTTGCCTTTGACCTTGACCTCTGACCTTGAAAATTGACCTGAGGTCAAAAATTTTGGGTGCTTTAGAAGCGTCTCGTAAGGACCTTTCGTTTGGTATCGCTTTTGTTTGCGTAGCTCTCTTATTTACGGAGTTAGACAGGGGGGGGGGGGTGAAAAACGCCCCTCCCCGGGCTGCGGTGGTTGGAATTACCCCCCGGGCCCGGCCGGATTAACAGAAGAGAGGATCTTTCCCCAGAACCCTGCCAGTTCCGAGAAACATCGGTGAGGTGTTTTACCTCGGCGGGGAGACTTGCCCCGGTCTACCCTATGTGTGGACAAAAGTACGTCACGGACAAAAGTACGTATAGCAAATGTATGTAGGGTATTAACCCGCGCACCGACGGGGGTCTGCGCAAACTTCGCACCGACGGGGGGGGGGGGGCGGATGACCGCCCCCCCCCCGAGATCTCGAGAACGAAGCAAGATAGCGACAAGCGGTAAACGGCATCGGATACGCACGGTCAAGATCTACAATTTTTACAAAGGTCATTTTCAGGTCAGGTCAAAGATGACGTCACAGGGGTCGAAAAAGTCAAAATGGCGGCGCTAGATATGGAGAGAGTTTTTCTCGAATAACTTTCGAATTAGTCAAGATAGGAACAAACTAAGGGCATCATCGTAATCCTCTCGTCAATCCGCATCGAATGATATATATGTTGATCTCGAAAGGTCAAGGTCAAAGGTTGACCTCAGGTCACGTGACTTCGAGGTCATCATGTATATCATTCGATGCGTCTTGACGAGCTGAACACAATGAGACCATCCACGCGTCTGTATCTTTTTCCTGTACGGAGTTATTGGTCAAAAACCTTTGGTGACCTTTGATGACGTCACATGACCTCACAGCTGCCCAACAGCAAAACAGACCTCAAGGTAGTGAAGGTTGATCGTATATGAAGTCATGTATGGTATATGGAGCCATTCCGACCCGTTTTAGTGGTAAAAACAGGGAGTTGATTTTTCCCCCATTGACTTATAATGGGGAGGTCGCGATATTGACCTGACCTTAGGTCACCGATATCAAAATTCCGAGATATACAAATTGTAGCTACTAATGACCTAATAACATCCTGCGACTTTCAAAGGCCTCCGACATCTACTGTAGCTCTGGCACGGTGACAAAGTTGCAAAAAAAGTGACTTGAGGTTGGGTCATTCAAAGTGACCTGGTGACCTGACCTTGAAAGGTAGGAGGTTCAAACTTGCACACCATATGTAAAATTGATGAGGGAATAGTCATACCAAATTTCGCGGCGCTTTTCCGCTATTCGCGAAAAACCTCAGGGGGGGGGGGGCGGATATCCGCCCCCCCCGTCGGTGCGCGGGTTAAGTACGTACCCCACCCTTGGGTTAAGTTGATCAATGTGTAATACCTTTCTTATTCTTTATTTAATGAGCATTTGTTACAAGGCATAGCAAAATTTCTCGATGAGTAAATGGGCGAAATGGACAAAGTATATTATTTGGTATATGAATTTATCATGAGTTCCCTGTAGTATGGCAACAGAGCAGCAATAAAGAAAAGTGGCTCAACTTACACTACTATACCCTACTTCTAGCATACGTACTTTATACAATACGTACTTTGGCATACGAACCGTACGTACTTTTGACATACGTACTTTTTACACTACGTACTTTTGCATACGAACTTTTGCGTACGAACATTTGCGTACGTACTTTTGGTATACGTACTTTATACACTACGTACTTTTGCATACGTACTTTTGCGTACGAACATTTGCGTACGTACTTTTGGCATACGTACTTTATACACTACGTACTTTTGCATACGAACTTTTGCGTACGAACATTTGCGTACGTACTTTTGCCATACGTACATTTTACACTACGTACTTTTGCATACGTACTTTTGCGTACGAACATTTGCGTACGTACTTTTGGAATACGTACTTTATGCACTACGTACTTTTTCATACGTACTTTTGCGTACGAACAATTGCGTACGTACTTTTGACATACGTTCTTTATGCACTACGTACTTTTGCATACGTACTTTTGCGTACGAACATTTGCGTACGTACTTTTGGCATACGAACTTAATCGCCTACGTATATTTGCGTACGAACATTTGCATACGTACTTTTGTCCTACGTACTTTAGCGATACGTACTTAAGTCCTAAAATCGATACGCATATACCAGGACAAAATCGCATTATGAGGATAAAATCAACTGAAAGTGGCAAAGGCACGGTCAGCTGAGATAACGCAACCATATGGAATTTTAAACTTCGGGTTCTACGTGCTTGAATTTTCAGCATGGTCACTCAATAGCACCACGGCTATACACGCGTTTACATTACACTTCGGTACACATTAACCAGCGCATTTTTTTAGAACTGAAGATCGCCAAGCCCCGAAGACCTCTCACACCACCCGGGGCGTCAGTGGGAATCGAACCCACCGCCCCGACGAGCCGGCGGCTCTCGGCTTACCTCGTTGTACTTGTCTCGGTCGGTTTTGTAGATGCGGGCGATCTCGGGCACCAGGGGGTCGTCCGGGTTCGGGTCGCACAGCAGGGAACAGATCGAGAGCAGCACTGAAACACACAGCGACATCTGTCGGACGGAGCGGTAAACAGTGGCGCTGGAGGTCGCCGCTAGGGTCGCACAGCAGGGAACAGATGGACAGCAGCACTGAAACACACAGCGACATCTGTCAGACGGAGCGGTAAACAGTAGTGCAGGAGGTCGCCGCTAGGGTCGCAGAGCAGGGAACAGATGGACAGCAGCACTGAAAACACACAGCGACATCTGTCAGACAGAGCGATAAACAGTAGTGCACAAGGTCGCCGCTAGGGTCGCACAGCAGGGAACAGATGGACAGCAGCACTGAAACACACAGCGACATCTGTCGGACGGAGCGGTAAACAGTAGTGCAGGAGGTCGCCGCTAGGGTCGCACAGCAGGGAACAGATGGACAGCAGCACTGAAACACACAGCGACATCTGTCAGACGGAGCGGTAAACAGTAGTGCAGGAGGTCGCCGCTAGAGGCTCAGCAGGGAACAGATCGAGAGCAGCACTGAAACACACAGCGACATCTGTCAGACGGAGCGGTAAACAGCAGTGCGGGAGGTCGCCGCTAGGGTCGCACAGCAGGGAACAGATGGACAGCAGCACTGAAACACACAGCGACATCTGTCGGACGGAGCGGCACACAGTGGTGCCGGAGGTCGCCGCTAGGGGAGCCAGCACTCCTCCACTCCGGGAACTGTGGACATCAACGGAGCAGCTGTTTTGAAGGAGCAGTCAACTACGAGCATAACATATCTACCACATACCTACGGTACAGAACATCATGAGCGTAACGGAATAAGTAAACAAGAACACAATGTCATCTGACAAAAATCTATGAAACGCAAAAACCTTCTACGAATAAAAAATATGCCGCGCGTCACGCATGTGCTCTATTCAGCATCTATAGCACACGGCACGAGCAGTGGTCAAATATCGGCACTCGACGGGGGCCAGAGAGGGCCGGAACGGCCGCTGCTCCGTGGGAGCGATCGTGCCCAGACTCCCAGCCGGGGGAACCTGACGGACGGACGGACGGACGGGTAGTAAAGGACGAGATCGCCACACCGGCAGCCGGCCGGGCCGACCGGTGCTGGAGCCCCTCGCCTCAGAGGTTCCCAGACAGCTGGACGGACGGACGGACGGACGGACGGTGAACGGGTGAGTCGGACGGACGGTGATCCGAGCTGGACGGCCAGCTGCCCGTCGGACGGACCGTGAAGACCCCCAGCTGCCCGTCGGACGGACTGTAACGGACGGACAGCTGCCCGTCAGACGGTGATGGACCGCCAGCTGCCCGTCGGACGGTGATGTGATGGACCCCCAGCTGCCCGTCGGACGGACTGTGATGGACCCCCAGCTGCCCGTCGGACGGACTGTGATGGACCCCCAGCTGCCCGTCGGACGGACTGTGATGGACCCCCAGCTGCCCGTCAGACGGACTGTGACGACCGCCAGCTGCCCGTCGGACCGTGATGGACCGCCAGCTGCCCGTCAGACGGTGATGTGATGGACCGCCAGCTGCCCGTCAGACTGTGACGGATGGACGGCCAGCTGCTCGTCGGACGGACTGTGATGGACCCCCAGCTGCCCGTCAGACGGTGATGGACGACCAGCTGCCCGTCCGACAGACTGTGACGACCCCCAGCTGCCCGTCGGACGGACTGTGATGGACCCCCAGCTGCCCGTCAGACGGACTGTGACGGACCGCCAGCTGCCCGTCGGAGGGACTGTGATGGACGGCCAGCTGCCCGTCGGAGGGACTGTGATGGACGGCCAGCTGCCCGTCGGACGGTGATGTGATGGACCCCCAGCTGCCCGTCGGAGGGACTGTGACGGACCACCAGCTGCCCGTCGGACGGTGATGTGATGGACGACCAGCTCCCCGTCAGACGGACTGTGATGGACCCCCAGCTGCCCGTCAGACGGTGATGTGAAGGACCGCCAGCTGCCCGTCGGACGGACGGTGATGGACCCCCAGCTGCCCGTCGGACGGACTGTGACGACCCCCAGCTGCCCGTCGGACCAGCCATACCGGGGGAGGGGCGCGGGCGAGGTTTGATTCATTAGGTATTCTCATCACTATCATATCTACTGTAAAAAGCTACACAAATAACACATCGAGAATGTCTTTCATAGGGTCAGGAAAAAATACAATTATTTGACATCTTACGTAAGTTTCCCACAATCACACCAAAACGTCAAGGGCAGTCTACGAATCAATACTCAGAATGACTTGCACATTGGAACTGAAAACACCCGCGGCCGGCGGGCGATAGGCGACACAATGCTGAGTCCGACCGATTTCGTCTGCTACGACGAAGTTCCGTCCTTTCAGTGAGCAGGCGGTTACACCCAGTTGACGTTTAGATTTTTAATCAAGTCACTAACCCTTCTCAGTCGGGTCACTGCTTCATCTGGTCACCACCACAAGTCAGGTCATTGCCCCCTCGCAATCAGGTCGCTGACCCCTGTCAGGTCACTGACCCCGTTTCCACTCCCACCCACCACTGCGGGAGGCTGGCAGCCGCCACTACCGGCCCGGCTCGGCGTGGCGTCATTGTAGGCCGGTGGCCAACAGCCGGCGTACACAGCCGACACACCGGCACTGACGGTACAGCCGACACAGTACACACCGGCCGACACTGGCCGGCACTGACGGTACAGCCGACACACCGACAGTGGCCGGCCGAGCCGTCCGACGCCGACCAATAATAGCCAGCTGATACTACTCAGTACTCAGCCCTCTCTCACACACCAAAAAAGACCAGCCGTAAACAGTTAACACTAGCCAAGGTAAGTCACCAATACTGGATACCTTGATAACAATACATATGTCAGCAATCTTAACTAACCAATCTTATCTTTTGGTGACAAATAGCCAACGTTCATATGCGAGCATTTACTGTTAAATAGTCAGCTTCGAATGTTCTCAATACCACCAAGGCACTTCTCGCCTCCACATACCAGACGTGCGTCAGCCACATGAAATAAACAGTCAGAACATGGACCCATGGGAACAAACGAGACCTAGACCAATATCACTTCACATCAGTTAAACACGACCCTGTGCTCTGACCCTGGCCCCGCCCCACGCGCACCCGGCCGGCCGTGCTCTGCCGGACCTCACGCCCTTCTTCCCTGGACCGGCGCCAGCAGGTTTGGCACGCCCCGCACTACCGGGCGACGGGCGGCGGGAGAGCTCCCCGCCTATCGCCCTCAGTGGTCTCGGTACAATTCCCCCGCAGCCACGGACCGTCCCTCCACAGGAATCAGCTGATCGGGAGGGCCGAGTCAGCTGCTAGAGGGTCCGCATTACGGACCCGGCCAGTGCAACAGAGTGGCCAGAATACCCTGCGGTAAAATAATCCGAGTACGGTCCCGGATAGTTCGATCTTGGGATAGGTATTCGTCCAGGCAAACTTCGGCAACGCTCGACAATTCGTCTATGCCTTTCGATGGCGGACGGTACTGGGTCTAAACGCTATAAGTCAAAGAGTGATATGACGGGGCAGACAGCACAAAAGGGTAACTGAGAAAGAAGACAACCAGTGACGAAGAGACGACGAATATTGCGCAGCTTCCCAGGCTGAGCATTTAACGCGTCGGCGAGCCGATTCGCCAGTCATTGCGTGATGCGTGATACGTCCACCACACCTGATATACTGGGAGTCTACTGGTAGCTCCGGTTGACCCGCAGTGAAATACGCATCAATCAGATCAGAATCAGTCACCAAGACAGACAGCCAGACTTCAAAGGGGCCTATCTGTTCAAATCGTTAGAATGAGTTACCCAGTTAATTACAAGAACAGACAGTCAATTAACTTAATAAACTCACATGACCCATCCAGCTGCCTGAAGCGAGACAGAACCAAAAAATGCATCATCCACTTGTAAAGCCCTGAATAAAATATTCAAAACCGCTAGAAGACAAGCCCGGACCATCTCACACCTGAACTGCATGTTAGGTAATCGCATTCCGCCTTGTCCATGAACCGGCCACCGCCCCCTCCTCCCTCCCCTCTTCCATGGTTTGACGGCCGTGCCCCACACCGCGCGCTCAGCTGACCGCCTCCCCTCCCTCCCGCAGAACAGCTGACTGCCCCTCCCCCCTCCCCCTGAGAGCGTCGGACCAGCTGACCGCGGACCGGTCCGGCTCTCCGGCCATACAGGTGGGAGAGGGGGAGGGGGAGGGAGGGAGGGAGGTACGGTGTTCCAAATAGCCGCACCGCTCGGCGCGGCAACAGGTGGCGAGGGAGGGCACCGCGCTCTAACGGCGCCAGGGCAACGGAAACAAATGCCGAGTACCAGATCTCTTTGGCTTGCTATTCACCCGACACCGGCCAAACACGAGATCGCGTACCGGTCCCCCGTGTACCGAGTACCGGTACAGCCATGAGTACCGCCATGTACCGTCCCAACATAGAGAGTAGAGTACCGCTCCTGTCCGCCGACCAATCGGTAAACAGCGGCCTGCTCAGTGCAGTCGGGAGCGCAAAACGAGCGGCGATGGCGACACTGGACGCGCTCAGAAAGCCCTGGTAACACAGACGGGGCTCAGCAGCGTCCATAGAGGAACGGTGGACTCCCTCAGCGCACATTCCAAACTGTGATGGAAATCTGGCAGCCCGTGTTGATAATACGTGTATGTCTGGCGGTGGGTGTGGCCATTCCAATCGCCGCTAGTCCAGCGCCGTTAGGCCCGACGCAGTGCCGGAGCAGGGCCGTGGTTGGACAGTTGACCAACTGTATGAGCTACGCAGTAAACAATGCGTCGAAACGCAAAGCTTAGTTATTTACCAATGCCATTTCCCCAAAACACCAGTTGATCAACATTTAAAACCGCACAAAGCTCACGTCATCCGAAAACGCGACAAATCTAAAAACGGCGCAAAGTTGAAGCACTGGCCATTTCGTGCCGGGTTTCTGCCGTGTCCGTCCGCGGTACAGACTGCCCGCTCTGCTGTCGTCTGCCGTGTCTGTCCGCGGCACAAACTGCCCGCTCTGCTGTCGTCTGCCGTGT